AGGGAGGGAGGGAGGGAGGGAGGGAGGAAGGAAGGAAGGAAAGCAAATAGAAGAGAAACTGAAGGGACCAATGAGAGGGGGAGAAGTGAGGTGATGGTAAGGGAAAGAATATATTTAATGTAAAAACTGTACAAAAATGTTTTTATGCAACATAGTATCATGTACAATGAAGATATACAATGAAAAAATTTAAAAACTAGAGGGGAACATTTATTTTCCTTTTGTGTTATTCCTTCCAATGTCCAGATACAAAGGTTGAGTAAAATCTTTACTCAAAAGTACAAAGAGTCACGTGGTAGCACATGCCTGTAATTCAAGTCCTCAAAAGATGGAGGCAGATGGATTGACACAAGCCTGAGACAGAGTAAGTCCCTGGCCTACCAAGGCTGCAAGCAAGAGAAGCTGAGGCAGGAGGCTCCCAAGTTCTTGTCCAGCCTGGGCAGCACAGCAAAATGCTGTTTCAAAGAATGGCAGCAACAACAGCAAGACACAGAGTCGGGATTGGGGTTTAGCTCAGTGGTAAAGCTTGTTAATATATAAGTGAGGCCCTGGGTTTGAAACCCAGTGCCAAACACACACAGACACACACACACAGACACACACAGAGGGGGAGAGAGGGGGAGAGAGAGAGAGAAAGAGAGAGAGAGAGAGAGAGAGAGAGAGAGAGAGAGAGAGAGAAGAGAAAATAAAATCTTAGGTTACTGGAGAGATGGCTAAGCAGTTAAGAGTGTCTGTTGCTCTTTTAGTGGATGTAAGTTCAGTTCCAAACACCCAGGATGAGTGACTCACAACCACCTGTAACTCCGGGTCCAGGGGATCCAAGACCCTCTTTTTTCCTCTCTGGGCATCTGAACACACATGGTGTACATTCATACACCCAAGAAAATACACATACACGTAAAATAAGTAGAAGAATCTTTTTTAAAAATTAAAAAAAAAAGAATTACATAGTTTCAATTAAGAGAAACAGCAAATTTCAGACAAATTCATCAACTAGTTGGTATGGGATGGAGGGATGTATAATAGGGAACTCTTTACCACTGTGGTGTTGCTTCTGTATGACCCAGAATCTTAACAACAGTGTCTTCCCTGGAGCAATATCCTTGCAGGGAGTGTGGATAAAGGGACAGGCTGTGTCTATATAGTCAGACAGGTGCTGAACGGCCTACCAGGATTAGGGGAGGTCTTGGAGCATACAGCAGGAGCAGGAACATACCATTTTCACAACCTTACATTCTGGGGCATTAGAGGGAACTTCCCATCCACTCTGACACACTCCACACCCACGAGGATAGCTCTCCCGTGGTGGCTGGCTTTCATGGCACATGCACTTCTGAAAATTCCTCCTTTGGCAAAGTTACAGTCTTCCATGTACTCCTTCTGACAAAAGCCTCTCTCTGCAGAGAGGGACCCAAAGCTTCCCACGGCTTCACCTGGTGTCATCACGTGTGGGTCTGTGAACACGTTCGGATCCCCCCTGCTCCAGAGTTTCCCAGACAGGGCTGTTACCACATGGCAAGAGCCATGAGCACAGGAGAGGTGGACACCTCCCCCTCAGTTGGCTCAGCCTGTGGGCAGCTGAAGAAATGTGATCAGCCTGCAGTTTCTGAAGGATTCTGCCCCTGATGGATGTCTTTTCAAATCTCTCAATCTCTCTCTCTCTCTCTCTCTCTCTCTCTCTCTCTCTCTCTCT